AAAAAAAAAAAAATGCATATTGCATATATATATATATATATATGTATATATACCTGGTAAGTCCCAGGGCTCACACTTATAGAGATCAACTTCTGGAATTACCTCCAGTTCAATCTTACGTCCATTAATCTTCCTCTTCAGATAATACATCACTAGCTCCTCATCTGTGGGATGGAAACGGAAACCCGGTGGTAATGAAACAGGAGCCATGGATCGATCTCTCCTTCCAAAGGCTAATTCTTTTGTTATCAAATATAATGAACGAGAACGAGCTAGCCAGGTACAACAAGAGCAAAATTTCAGAAGAAGAGAGTCGATGGGAGGGAGAGAATGGTTGGTAATGCATTGATATATATGAAGACTGAAGACAAAAAGAGAAACGAAAAAGGCAAAAGCGAACCAACCCACCATCCTCAATATTCCCTTTTGCTTTTGGTTTATCTTCGGCCGTTTAATAATTAATTATTGTCTCTTCTATATATGTTGGTATCGTTTTTCTTAAGCCTAACGTTCTAACCGCTTGCTTTCTCTCACCAATTATCCCATACTTCGTGTATTGTCCTTTCTCGATTCTGATGTCTACACGGCAACACGTCATTTGCTGCACTACCGTTTTTGTACATGTATCCAGCAAGTATCTTACATTTTATGTCCTGGAAAACGAATATCGGCGCCTTAAAGGCCGGAAACCCCCTTGTATTATTATTATTATCTTTTTTTTAACATAGGAGAATTCTGGGGAAGGAGGATTTTTACAACTACAAATGCAGGGATGAGCCTGCTGGAACCCAGGAGTGAGATGCTCTTCCACTGCAACCAAGGCTGCAAGAGCATATAATCACTTCTTTTTATAACAAAGGATTGAAAATATCCAGCTTCGCACAAAGTCTTTCAAATGTGTCTGTAAATTGTCTTTGTTCATACTCAAAGTCTCAAGCCAAGAATGGCAAATGAGTATGTTGAAATTGTTTTTATATATATTGAAATATATAACAATATCGATGAAAGGACTCAAATAACATGTATTTCAAGTTGTACCAATTTTATTACTTAACTGTCAAATAACAATAGAATATATATATAAAGCAAACCATTTTTTTCTTTTATTTTAGTTTCTAGCTAGACATGTTTGGACATATTATATATTCAACGTCTACATTTTTATCTTGTATTCCATTTTTCATTTTTGAGCATTTATTTTCTATTTTCATTTTTTTTCCCTCCTTACTGCATAGTCTGCTTGAAGTTTTTGGTGATTCGTTCTGTAATCTGCGTTGATCCTAAAGTGTTGGTTTTTACAAGAAGGGCCAGCGGTCCCACATGCGATATTGCGAATGCAAATTAAGGCGGTCCACAAGGTATCATGTGGGGCCAGCCTTTAACACGTGAGACAAAAAGCATCCACGTGGCATATCGGGACAAACTTGTAACTTGTAACTTGTAAGGCCTTCCATCCTTTAATTCTCATTGATGGATGCCAAACTGTTCCCACTGCATACCATCCATTCTTTTCCCTTTCCTCAATCCATCTTTTGGTGCTTTTCCCTCTTTCATAGCTAGGTTTATTAATTTTTTACTAATTTTGTTATCTATAAAAGTTTGAATTTAATTAACTTCTAATTTTGAGGTTTAACTTAATAATTAAGTACTACCACGATTGATCAAGCTTTTGTCAATATTTGTTTTGTTATTGTTGCGTAATGATTAATTAGTTGCAACTTTAGCAGCATAATCCTAATAATTAATAGTTTAGGATGAGCAAATTGAGATATTAAATGTTTATTATGGAGTACTGTGTGCATATGGATATGTATCCCATGAAGCAAAAAATTTGATTCCTCTCTATATACTTTAGAGAACCATCAAATCAAACAAAGGAATGATTCCGATCGCCAAAATAATTTAGTAGGACCATATTGTTGGTAATCGCCGACGATTCTAAAGGGCGACCCCCCCCCCCCC